CCACCCAGCTGAGGGTCCCCAGGGCTCTGCTGGCTCCGGGGGGCTCTGGTGACTCCGCAAGGGGATGGTGTCACTTGGCACAGGCTGAAATACGTCTGTGGTGGGGAGCCAGAGGCTTTGTGATTCACTGAACATGACATCAGTGAGAAATGGCTCATGGCTGGGCCCGGGGTGGATCCTGAAAGCATTTTTCTGAGGAAAGTTTTGGACAATGACGTCCCAGCTTCTGACAGAGGATGATGCCACGTGGGACAACCCGTGCTGCCTTTTCCTGCCTTCCCACAGCAATTGGGAGGCAGGTACTCCACATGTGAGGTTTCCTCACTGGAAATGATCCATCCAAAGCTGCTGCAGGGAAAAGGGCTTGTGGCTAAGGAGAGAAGAGCTCAGTCTCTAACTCTTTGAGGTTCTGAGGCAAAATGCACCTACAGATGCAGGCAGTGGAGAGCTGTGCTTGCTTTAAACCTCTGGGAAACCCCCCAGGGAAATCCAAGGCGTTCATCCTGGGGGACACTTCCTCAGGACAGTGCTGAGCATCAACATCCCCTTGGGGCAGGGAGCCTGGGGATGCCAGGATGAGCTTTTTGGCACATCCTCAACAGCCAGTGTCACACAGCTCCCTCCAGAACTGGCGTTTTCTCACAGCCAGGTAACTCCTGGTGGGAGCAGCAGCAGGAGCCCCCAGGTGCTGTGCCATGCAGGGCCCCATCCTGTGTCCTTGACGTCAGTGGTTTTCCCCTGGCAGCGCCCGGCGTGTGCAGGCACAGACCTGGAGCCGTGCTCAGCCCTGCCCACGCCCCTGGCTCGTTCCTGCCCTGGCATTCCCTCCTGCACAGCCCCGGCCCCACCGCAGGGCACGGAGCCACGGAGCTCTCCCCGTCCTTTCCCTGCTCCCCACGGCCCCTGGGGCTCCCAAGCGTGATGTGACTTCCCCGGAGCTTCACTTCCAGACCGTGAAAATCATAACTGGGAGGTCTAGGAAACAAAAGGGCCTTTCTGGCTGAGAGGAGGCTGATTAACACCCCCCCAGGGCAACCAAAGGGCCTCGTCACCCTTCTGAGTAAATATGTTTTGTTATTCCATCAAAAGGGTGACTCACCTGGCTACGAGGTCCCTGCAGCCACACGTGGCTGTTACAGGAGCCCCGAGGTGACAGGGTCTGGGGGAGGTGTGAGGGGCTGTCCCTGCCCCAGAAACAGCCTCTCCAGGGGTCCCCAAACGCTGAGGAGCCCAAACCCCCCCAGTGCTGAGAGCTTCGGGGTCCAACACGGTGCCCAGCAGCTCCCACACCAGAGGAAGGGGCTGCTTTGGCTGGGGGAATCTCTGGGGGTGTTTGGACAGGCAACAGGACCCAGTTAGAGACCCCTGGGGGTGTTTGGGATTTTCTCTGCTGCCCTGTGCCACTGGTGGAGTCCAGGGCAGGTCAGGAACCCCTCAGAGGTTCCTTGGGAGCTGCCCAGACCTGCTCTGTACCAGCTGTGCCATCGATGCCCAGAATGCCACAGCCCTTTGTGGCTTTTTCAGCCCGGTATTGCAGCACTTCACATGTTTTCTCCATGATTTAAGGTCCCAGAGGAAGGCTGTAGAAGGGAGAAGAGGAGAAGGAAGGAGGAAAATAGAAGCAGTCTGCTTTCTGCACAGATTTACTGCTCAATCAACTTCCCAGGACACTTCTGGGGTGCTGGACATGGTGTCACTTTATTTCACCCGTGTCAGACTTCTGGAAGGTTTTCCAGAGAGTTGGTGCCGTGGCAGCTCAGGACACGGGGCAGAGCAGCTGCTTGGGCCAATTCACAAGTTTTATTTGTTCTTTTTTTAGCTGTCAGGTTCATACTTTGTCCTTTACGAGCACGTCCTGGGTAGGGCCATGCCTGGAGAAATCTGCTCTGCACAGACAGGTGGTGTTTAGCCATGGAAAGAAGAGGAGCCACCTCCAGAGGGGTCACAGAGAATTCTGCCACAAACACTGCTGAGAGGGGTTCCCACACTGAAGAAGGCCCTGGAGGACAATTCCTTGTTCCAGCCCTCCTGCATGGCCCCAACTCTTCAGGTCCAAACTTCCCACCTTGCCCACGCCCCTGGAGCTCCATGGATCCCCTCCCCTCACACAGGAGCCCAGCTCCAAGAAGAGGTGACAAAGAGAGGGATGTTTCATCCCTTTCTCCTCGTTTGCACAGGTGCATTCCAGGGAAGCACTCCCAACTCTTATTCATGACCAATATTTGTTCCTCTGAAAATGTTCTTTCATGTTGGGTCCCTCGCCGCTGTCTGGGCGTTTATTGTGCTCCAATCCCAGAAACAAGGAGCCACACGTTTGCTCAGGAGGGACTCTGTGGCTCTCTGCCTCTCTTGTTCTTCCCCCAGCCTGTCCTGTGGCTGCTCCAGTTTTCCTTGGCCATCTCCAGCTGTGAGCAGAGTTCTGTCCCCTGTCCCCCTCTCACTCCCATTTCCCTCTGCTTCCTCCTGGGAACAGAAAAGTGGCATTAACTTGCTGCTGACCACCCCATCCCATCCATGTTGCCATGGTCTTGCCCATTTTCACACCTATATCTGCATTTATAAAGTTTAGGGATGTGTTATTAGTAATTTTAGGGCTATCCAGGATGAGGCAGAGGCTGGTTCCTGGTGGGATTTTCACTGCAGGGGAAGTTCCCCTGCACAGCTGAACTGACTGGCTTCACAGGCATTGCTTCTTCAACCCAAAACCTCTGCAGTAAATTCAGTGTAACCTGGTTCTAATTGGGGTGACAGAGCCCTGATGTAATATTTTTACACCTTTGTGACACAGATTCAGGGGCAGGGCAGATCACCCTGCTGTGTGGAGAACCCTTCCTGCGCCCCCATTAATTTTTCCCTGCTGATCTTCTGTGGGTACAGAGAGCACCAAGAAAATGTAACAGCTTGGCCAAAGAATTGAACTCCTTGGCCTCACTGCAGAACCTGCAATGTCAAAGCCAGGGGTGAATGATGTTTTTTTCTGAGGGGTCTTGTGATATCTCTGCATTTGCTTCAGCACTGGGGAGGAGTTTGACAGCCCTGCTGCAAACAAACCATTTTCTACAGCAGCTGCTCCCTCGGGCCATCTCCTCATGCCTTGCACAACACAGACAGAAAAGCAGAGAGAAAAGACAGAAAAGCAACATTAGGGCAGAACAAGAATTGCAATTTGGCTTCCTAAGTGCCAATAGCAGCAACATCCCTCTGCCTGGACAGAGAATTGCATCACTCCAGGACACAGAGGCCTCTTCAGCCTGGGGCCAGCCCTGGATGTGAGCACCCAGCAAACAGCTTTGCGCTCATTTCTGGGATGCTGGGCATGTTGGTGTCAGCAGGAGATGCCAGTGGAGGTGACAGAGGAAGGTGACAGAGGACAGTGACAGTGGAGGTGACAGTGCCTTCCTCTGGGGAGGCCACTCTGGCTCAGGTGAGTCCCATCCAGTCCCCCCTCAGGTGCTGGCTGGAGCTGGGCACTGGGGTGGCACAGCACAGAGTCACTTTGGGGTGATTTGTGCCTAGCCCTGAGCACATTTTGTCCTTCTGAGCTTCCCAGGGCTGTGAACAGAGTGCTGGGTGCTCAGACCTGGGACCAGAGCATGGAGACACCTTGTTCTACTGCCAAAACCTTCCTCCTTCCCCAGCCTTGGTGCTTCCCTGTCCTTTAAAACCACCCAAGCACCCCAGCACAGAGGAGATGCTCAGCTTGAGGGACCCAACCCAACGTTCCTCCCCTCTGGCCCCCTCCAGCTGGAGTCAGGCTGATGTGTGTGTGACACTGAACCTCCTCAGGTTAGAAATTCCATCTGTCAAGGATGTCATCCAGGTGAACTTTACCAGCCAGGAAAAGGAAGGCTTCCAGGAAATCACTCCCAAGCAATCCCACAGATGGGAAGGGGCTGTGCTGGCTGTGTCAAACTGTTTGCCCAGGGATGTAAGGACAGGAAAAAACAATAGCTGGTAATAAATGAAAGGTTGGAAAGATTGTAAAGTGAGATGAAGGAATTTAAGGCAGGGAGTTTATATGGCCTATTTCCTGATAAAATCAGACGTTTCAAAGTGTCCTTTCACAGTGTGGCAACACTGCAGCGAGCCCAAGGCATTTATGGGCAGCAGAATAGGCAGTTTCCTTGAAAAAGGATATTTCAGAGACATGGTTTTAAAGGTTGCTCCACGGCTCTGTGCCCACTGACACTGGAAGAAGCCCTTGAGCCAGAATGCGCAGCAATCCAGCAGGATGCTTGGGGGTTATTTATTATATATATTCCCCTGTTCCCAGAGTGGGAATGCTGAGTGCAGCACTCAGGCCGGTCTGCTCTGGGCTGGACGCTGCAAAGGCAGGTTTGAGCCTCGGCTACCTCTCAGTACGTTTTTCAATCCTCTCCCTGTAGTACAGCAGGGATAACAGTGCAGTGATGACGGCGTGGCAGGCCCTTGGATGGCGACAGACGCCCTTTAACCAGACTGATAATGTCTTTCCCTTTGAACCAATCTCCCTCCCTCCTCAAGGCAGCACCTTCGCCACGAGGCAGTGACCCAGGACAGGCTGTCCCCAAGCCTACAGCTCCTCCCACAATGTGTCTGTGCTGCCTGGCACCCCTGGAAAGAAGCAGGGGGAACTCAGCTCCAATGCTCCAGCTGGACAGGAGCCTGTGCTTGTTGTTCCCTCTTCATTTATTGTCACAGCTGACAGCCAAAATTCGGACAGGCTGAAGCAGAGTCCCCACCAACACCACCATGCTGAGGGATGCAGGGGCAGTCCTTGGCAGCTGTAACACCGACTCCTCACCTGCCCCAAGGCTTTACCTTGCTCTGCTCCAGCTTCAAGCCCGTGCCCGGTGCCCCGGGGCAGCCTCACCCCTCGCCAGCCCCGCTCTGCCACCCCAAAAACCCCAAACCCGGCGTCTGGGTCTTCCCTCTCGCACCACACCTGCGGGGCCCGGAGGGGCGGCGAGGCTCGGCCCAGGTGGGAGGGCCCGGGCTCCCGTTAAATCCCCGCTCCCGGAGGAGCCGCTCCTTGCCCGGACGCACCCAGGTGCTTTAGGAGCTGCGGGCGCTGCAGCGGAGCCGCGCCGGAGCGGGGACGAGCTGCTGCAGCCCAGGTACCCCCGAGTCCCCCTTCCCAGGGCAGCTCTGCCTCTGCCGTGCCTCTTCCAAGTCCCTTTTTTTCCTTTCAGTTCTCATGCTAACGCTGCGTGCAGCTCGTATCGATTCTTCCCTTCCCTCGCTCCTCTTGCTGCTGCTTTGCGTTTTGCTGGGGGTTGATCTCCTGCTTTGGGAGGATTCCTCATCCTCCTTGCCTCAGGGGTCTCAAACAAGCCGAGATGTGGTTGTTCCTGCCCCAGCAGCGCTGCCAGGGGACAAACACTGATCCAGGGTGGGGAAGGCTGCTGGAAAGTGCTGGGAGCAGTGGTGTGGAGTTATGCACATTGCTCTAGCTGAGCTTCTGAGCTTTTCTCAGCACTCCGTGGGGTTTATGACATGAGCAATTACCTTTGTTACCCTTTTGAAGCTTATTTAAGCATTGCAGTGGTGTTTGTTGTCTGTGCATGTGTCCAGGTGCGTGTTTCCTCAGCTGAGGTGAAGTGGCTGGGGTTGTGCTCCAGTGTCTCCTTCCTCCCCGTGGGAGGCTGTGGTGAGGGAGTTGTGGAGAGTTCAAGGCAGTAAAAGTGCCATGTGGGAGCAGAGGTTTGCGTGGGGCTCTGAGTGAGTTACTCAGGGCGTTGTGGTACCACTGAACCTTTTTAAGCCACAGCCAGCCAGGAAGGTCAAAGCACAGGGAATGGGGTCAGTGACCCTGTGCTGTGAAACCAAAACCAAGTTCTGGGCTCCGTGCTCGTGTCAGAGGAGAGGGATTATCAGAAGCTGCAGGTGGGAGTGCTTGGGTCTGCTGCTGGTGTAGGTAGATGTATTGAGAGGAAAATGAAGTCTGGGAAGGGGAGGAAATTAATCTAGTCCCATATCTACTTTTTGGACCCTAGGGAAGAGCCTGAAGCATGTTCTGGTGCTTCATGAGGTTTGCAGGCCTGGCTGCAGCGCTGGGCACTGCAGGGGATGTGCCCAGGCCAGCACAGATGCTCAGGGCCCTTCTGAAACACCTACAGTGTGCAGGGCCCCCCCGTGCAGCAGCTGCCACCCTCTCCCTGCCCCTGGCACCCCTGAAATGCAGGGGAGCAGCCTCTCACAGTGCAGAGTCCTCTGATGCTGCCTGCTGGGTCCCACACGGGCTGCAGGGAGATGTTCCCATGGTCTCAGAGAAGAAACATCCTGCCTTGTGCTCCGAGGAGCTCGTTAGTGTCTGTTCCTGTAACTCGTCTCAAACATTCTTAGGAGTTGCTAATTTAGCCTATTTTTAGACAGACACCCTGTTCTAAAGCCACTGTTGTCCCTGAGCCTCCCATGTCAACTGCTCACCCACAAAGAGGGGAGGGGAAACTTCTGCTGTGCTGGGACCTCTCTTGGAAACGAGGAGCAGGCTCTGTGCTGCTCTTGTACCCAGAGAAGCTCTTGCCAGAGGGGGAAGAGCTGTCCCGGGAGAGGAAAAGGCTGTAATGCAGTGGGAGGGGGAGCTGCTGGAGCAGCGATTTCAACATTCCTGACAACCCGCCTCCTCCAAAAGCCTGGAGACCCTTCCAGAAGCCTGAAGTGTTGCTAAACAAGCGGCACTTTGGGAGGGGGGGTCACCGGGGGTGGGTGGCTCCTGCTGGGGATGCTCTCGGGTTGCACTGGAGGGTTTCTCGTTGCCCCACAAAAACATCCTGCTCTGGCGCTGCTCATGCTGCCCCATCCTGCGGCTCCGGGGGCTGGGCAGATACCAAGATGCTGTCTGGGATTTCACAAACGCTTCTTTTTCTTGCTGCTGAGGCTCCCAATCGCTGTGTCCGAGCGAGGGAGGAGGCTCTGACCGAGTCCCCTTCTCCCCCGGCGTGGGAGGGCAGCACCAGGTGCTGGAACCCCCCGGCGCTGGGCTGGATTAATATCTGCCATGTGATACCGCGGCTCTCCCTGCTCTGCGGGGAAAACACAGCACAGCCATGGGAACTTTCTCCCTCCGTCCCCCCAGCACGCCCCTCTAATCCAGGCCAGTGGCCCGCGGTGATTAAACCGTGCGCGATGAGCTCTGGGTGTCCCAGCAGCTCCCTCTGCCCTCCCTGGCCAGGGGAGGGATGTGTAACAGCCTTGTCATCGGGAGGCTCCCGGGGCTCACGTTGCAAGGAAAAACAAGCAGCCTTGGCAGCTGGCTGAGCTGTTTTGGGGTCTGCACAGGCAGGGGGCGAGGCTGTGTCCCGGCTCGTATGTCTGAGCTGCAAATAACCGCGCCGGGACACCCAGCGTGCAGCTGCCGGCGATGCTGCGGGGCAGCTCTGCCCTTTCCTGCCCCGCCCGGTGCCAGGGCAGAGCCAGCCGGGGGCTGGGGGGGTCCCACCGAGCTCTGGCGGACGAAGCAGGAGGGACTTTGCTCCGTGCGCATCCCCGGCGCTGAGCCGTGCCCGGCGGCTTTGGGAAGGGCATTTATCGGGGTGTGCCAGGCACAGCCCTGGCCCCGGGGCACCCGGCTCCTGGCAGCCGCGCCCAGGAGAGCCCTGCAGCCCTCCGAACGCTGCACCCCACGAGGGTGCCCCAGTCCCGGTGTGACACCCCCAGCCCAGCTCCTTTTCCTGCTGCAGGGGTGCCAAGCTGGGCTGGAGCAGGGCTCGCTGGGCTGACCCCACAGAGTGGGTCTCTGCTACAGCAGGTCCCTCACTGAGGACTAAAAGTGTCCATGAGGAATTTGTGACTTGTCCCCTTCAGCTCAGAGGGAGTTGTGCTCCACAGTCTGCTCCCAGTAGCAGGAACTCGGCCGTTTCCAGCCTGGCTGTGTTCATGCCAGCTTATTTCCATCTTTCTGTGCTAGCCTGGAGTTAGCTCAGACAACAGAGCTCCTTCCCTGGAATTTCCACCCAGCTGGACCAGCCTGTCTGGGCATGGCTGCAGTGCTGGGCTTCCCCCTGCCAGGGCTGCCCTGGTTCTGCCCAGAGCCCAGGGCATGGCTCATGGCACAGTGTGGTACAGGCTGCCACCTGTGCCCATGCCTGGCCTCTCTTCCCTGCCCAGGGGGCACAGCCAGGCCCTGCCCAGCCTGTACATAGGGTGTGCCATTCCCTGTGGCTCTGGGGAGGTCCTGGTCCCTGTGGGCAGCATTTGCCCGTGCCATGCTGGTGGCCAGCAGCCACCCCGTGGTTCCCCTCCTTCATCTCAACCCTTCTCCTTTGCTCCTCCAAGCACAAGAGGCTCAAAATTCCTCTGAGGAGCTTGGGAGACCTCTCACTTCAACCCAGGGAAGGGAAGGGAGGAGAAATGAGGTTTGGAGGCTAATTCTGGCAGCATCACACTTGAGAAAGATCAAAAACTCGGGGCAGGAGTACAAGAAAGGAGGGAAGCTGTTGCGTGCATGCTCCTGGAGGCCCCGGCAGCCCTGGTTCATGCATCCTGCACGTTATTTCTGTACCTACTTAAATTAAAACCAGCCTTGTCTTGTGGATGCTGACTGGAGCCAGGCAGTTCTTCTCCCCAGGGGAGAATCCAATTTTCACTCCATCTCGCTTGTGTTTTTGACCTGGAATGACTCTTCTTTTTATATTTAACAAACGCTCCCTCCGAGCCTTGTACCACGCCGCACTGCTCACGCAGAGCTGGCACACGGTGCCCCTGCCGTGCCAGCAGGCCTCGGGTGGCTTCCCAAGGTGGGCATCTGCTGACCTGGGCTCTGACCTGCACCCCCTGGCAGAGCTGTGCTGGAACGCGACCTGAGGTGACACAAATTTTGTGGGCAGAGCCCTGGCACGGCCAGCCAGGAAAGGGGGAAGTGGGGCTGGGTCTCAGCCTGCTGCTGCACCCTCTGTGCCCGGGGAATGGGGTCTGGAAATGCCAGGGAAGAGGCTGGTGCTGGCCATGGCACAGCCAGCAGGGAGGGCACCTGTGGCACTGCTGCAGTCAGAGGAGGGACCCCCCCACCTGCAGCCCCCCAGGTGGGGCAGATCCCTTCCCAGCAGGAACAACCAACCCCAGACTCAGCCCATCCCCTCTGGGAGCTGGGGCAGACCTGGCTCCGACAGCACAGCCCCAAATTCCCAGAGGTTCCCACCTCCAGGAATAATTAGCAACAATTCAGAGCTGCCTTGGGCTGCTCTAATTCAGGCTCCGGAGGTGCTTCCCCTCCTGCAGCACAGCCCTGCTCCCTCCTGTGACAGAAACCTCTCCGGGGCTCAGGAGACACGGCTGCCAGCGAGGTGAAGGGATTGAGGTATTTATTCACTCCTGCAGCTCTCGGAAGCCCTGGAGGGGGCTTTACCTGCCGTGACTCGCCCGGGCCGGGTGCTGACAGCAGCAGCAGACAGCAGCGATGTTTTCCTTCTAATTCCCTACACTTGGTGAGCTCGGGGTGCTCCGGGCGTCTCTCTAGCAAGACATGGGGCTTCTCCGGGGTTATATAACCCAGCAGAGCTGCCCTGCTTGGAGCCACCCCCCGTTCCTGCTCCCAACACCTGGCAGGGCAGTTAGTCACTGATTGCAGCCGGTGACGCAGGGCACCAGCCCAGCTCCTGCTCGGCTGCCTCGGAGCAACGTGTCTGCTTCCTAATCCTGTGACTCCATCGTTAATCAGCCCGGAATAAGAGGGTAAATAAGTCAGTCGTTGGAGGCTGGTGCAGGACAGGGCAAATATTTTAATAAGAGTGCCCCTCTGCTTGTGTCACACGCTAAATCCACACGGGATGGGGAGAGGGAGCCCCGAGCTGTGGGGTTAACTCCTGCCAGCAGAGCTTTGGACATTCCCCACCAGCTCTGCCCTCCCCAGGGAGCAGAGAGGATGGCGTGGTGCTGGCACAGGCCTGGCTGGCCCCAGCACGGAGATGCCAGGCTTGGCTGCCACAGTGGGTCCAGGTTATTGTCCCCGCCCCAAGGCCAAGGAGTGAAGGTGGCAGCATGCTGCTGAGGGACAGCTCCTGCCCAGCCCCATTTGATTGCTGATGCACCAGGAAAACTTCCCCACCTCCAAACAGCCTCCCAAGACCCTTTTTCCCAGACTTCTGATGGAAGCCAACATCATTCCATAGGGGTTCATAATGGGAAATTTTAAAAAAAAAACACTTTCTGCCTGAAGTGAAGTATTCTAAAGGTATCTGCAGTCAGATTCCTTGAGCAGCACCACTGAGGGAGCAGCCACGTCCGCAGCCTTCCACACTTGTGTTGTACCAGGAAAATAAACCCCTGGATTAGCTGTACACCCTCTTGCAGGACGCTGCCCTGGCAGGCAGCTCCAGCTCTCTGCCCCACGGGGCTCCAGCCTTGCTGGCTGTCCTTGGCTGGCTCCGGGGGTCAGGGTCCCATGGGAAGGCTGCTAGAGCCTTCATTTCGTTCTTAATCCAGAAAATAAGCAAAAAATAAAAAAAAGCAGGATTCCGTTTTAGGCCTTTGAATCCTGCAAAGCTGCTGCCAACGAGCCCTTCGTGTGCTTGCCCGGCTGTGCTGTGGCACTGGGAGGAGAGGCTGGAGGGGCTGGAAAAGCAGCACGGGGTGACTCGTTTTCATACGAGCTGAATTCCAGCTTTCACTCCAAATCCCCGTTTTTATGGACTTTTCCGCTGCGGTCTGCTCCTGCCCGGGGCATGCCTGTGTAACCACTCCTCTCTGCATTCCTCAGATTCCTGTCCTGCTGGAGACTGCATTGAAGACGGGGTCTGAGGTCCCTGGTGGAGCAAGGAGGCGAGGAGGAGGAGAAGGAGGAGGTTTCCCTTGGCCTCTGAGCTGTGAAACCGGAAAACCAAAGCATGTCCCAGGTCATAGAATCCCACGTGCTGCGTGTTGGACAGACTGTGTGCATCTCCTCGCCGGAGGAGAGCAAGAGCCTGCACCCAGCAGGGTACCCGGGCTGCTCCACGCTGCCCGGCAAGTACGTCTACTACTCCACAGAGACCTGGGCTCAGCCCCCCTCCATGGTGCACCCCAAGGCTCGCCTGCTCCCCAGGTGTGCAGCCCAGCCCGTGGCAGAGCAGAATTCCTCCTTGGAGAGACCCCCAGCTCCGTGCCAGCCGAAGGAGGAGGAGGAGAACGCCAGCACGGAGCCTGAGGCTCAGCCAGTGTCTCCCTCCCTGGACATAACCATAGAGACTCTCAACCAGATGATCCTAGAGATTGATCCGACCTTCCAGCCGCTGCCCTGCAGGCCGGTGAGGGCTGCAGGCCAGCCTGCTGCTCAGGGGGACGCTGTGGCCACCAAGAGGCAGGAGCAGGAGGCAATAGGTGAGGCAAAGAAAGGGTGTGGGGCTGTGAAGCTCCCATCTGGTGGAAATCAGAGCCTGGGGCAGAGGGGTTGGGCACACATCTGTCCCATGACCCCCACGGGGTCCTGTGCTCCTGGGGAGGCTGGGGATGGGCACCAGGGACATTCCCTGCTGTCCCCAGGGGGATCAGCGTGGGGGCTGTGCCCTGACATCAGGGTTCCAGATTAAGGAGCAGGAGCTGTGTGTCCAAGCTCAGCCTGACTCCAGGGCTTGCACAGCCCTGTCTGGTCACTGTTGATGTGTCTCATGTCCAGGCAGCTCAAAGAAAGGAGCAGGGTAACCAGCCTTTAGTTCTACCTGATGTTCACTTCCCTGTGTTTGAAGGAAACAATTCTCATTACAAACGGGACTTGCAGCTGTTGGAAAACTTCTAATCCCAGTTGTCACCACCAGTGGCTGGCCCTGGATGCCCAGTGAGGACCCTGCTCCCCTCAAGGGCAGCAGAACCTTTCCCAGGGTCACACTTGACCTGTGGGAGCACAGGGATTTGCAGCCAGATTTCCAGAGCCCTGGGCTAAGGTATCGAGTGTTGCACAACCATCCCATTTAAGTGCTCCCAATTCTTTTGCCAGGGAAATTCTTTTTCCAGGGCTTGTGCACTCCCTGGGCAGCATACCTGGCATAGGCAAGGCAGCAGCAGCACATACCAGCCCCGTCTCTGCTCACAGTGCCTTATGTGACCCCTTGTGCAACTCTTCCCTGGCGTCCCTGAGCCCAAGCTCTGATTTGTGAGCTGCTCCTGACCCAAATGTTCCTGCCAGGGCTCTCCTGCTCGTTTTAGGTGTTCAACACCCTGTGCATGGGGCAGCCCCAGCACATGAGGAGCTGACACTGCTGGCAGGACAGCTCTAGGGTGGTTCAGGTGCCTCAAGTCTCACTGCTCCCCAAAAACTTTATTGCCTGTGCTTGTCTTTACACACAGAAATACCTCAACAATCAGTCCCCAGGCTCCTTTCCACAGCAAGGCCAAACGCGAGGATGTTAAAGACAAAAATAAATTCAATTCTCCCTGAGCCCTCTTGCAAACATGAGCATGGTGGGGCTGGAGGAGGATGAGGTGGGTGGAGGGTCCTGGTGCTGCAGCACTGCAGCAGCCAGGCAATCCCAGAGCAGACAGTGTCCCTGCTTCCTGCTGGGATGGACAGGGCGGCCTCGCAGATAAAACACTGTGACAAAGTGCAGATGCAGCTCTGGCTGCTCAGTGCCTGACCCACTCCCTGCTCGGGGGCTGGAGCCCCAGGCAGCTCCACAGGTAACGTGTTAGTGGTCTGGAGAATCTGGCTCCAAGCGTGGAACTGAACATCTGGAAAGCTGGCCACGAATTCAGTGGGGAAAGCCTCACTCCAGCTTTCATTTTCTTTTAACAGACTTTGGTTTTTTACACAAACTTCCTCCATAGTGCAGTGCCCTGCTCACTCACCTGCTCCAGCCCTGCAAGCTGTGCCCTGGTGTGAGGGTGGCAGGGAGTGAAGGTGCCCAGGAGAGGTGAGAGGGGGCTGTTCTTGTCTAGGAGACCCTGAGGAAGCTTTAAACATGGCACTCCATCCTGATGGGTCCCTCCCAGCTCAGCACAGTCTGTGAAATGCTGCAGCAACAGGAGGTACATACATGACAGGCACTATTCCTTCTGGATCCTTCTAGTTCCTAGAGGAGAAAGGAGATCTTGGCTTGCGTGACATCTGGGCTCCGTGTTTGTGGCACTTTTGCCACTCCTTGATGCTGGAAAACTTGCCAAGGTCTTGAGCAAATATTTGAGGTTTAACCACAGGTGATAAGAAGAGCAAAGGCAGAGAAGTAGGAGGTAAAAGGCCTCTCATGAGCCTGGTGCACAGACTCTTGTCAGTTCTTTAAAGAACAATTTAAATCCCCATTTTTTTCTCCTTTTGGGGAGATATGGACAAAAATCATCCAACCCTTGCTGTAAGGGTTTGTGCACTGGTGCCAGGATGTGTGGCACAGAGCTGCCCCCAGGGCTGAGGAGGGGCAAGGGCTCTGGCTCTGTCCTGCTGTGTCCCCACTGGGGACCAGCCCTCCTGGCTCACCCTCCTTGGTGCTCGTGGCTGGCTGTGTTTATCCAATTTCATGCTGGGATTGGCACAAAGGGGCTCAGGGAGTCACTCCTGTACAGCCCTGTGCTTTTCCTGCTCATCCAGCTCCGTGCCCCAGGGCTCAGGATGTTGCTTGCAGTAGCCAGGGCCAGCAGGTCCATCAGGAGCTGTCAGACCCTGGGCAGGGAGCTCAGGGCTGTCAGGGCAGTTTGCTGCAGCATAAAGGATTTTCCCTTTCTGAGAAACACCTTTGAGAAGAGGAACTTTGCTGAACTCCACGGCAGGGCAAGAACCAGGCACTGAAAGCAAAGCTGGGCACGTCCAGACTGGAAGGGAGGTGCACACCTCTGGCACTGGAGTGATTAAGTGATTAACCACGGGAGCAGCCTCCCTGGGATGTGATGAATCTGCCGTGGCTGCAAGCACTCAAATCAAGTCGGAGTGTCTCCTGCTAAAAGCCTCTTCCAGCTCAGCCAGAAATGCTGGCTTTGTCCAAGGAAGCCTGGAGCTGACATGAACCAGGTGCTGGCTGTGAGGTTCCACTGAGGGCGTTGGACAGGAGATGCTGGCAGGTGTGTTCCTGTGGCACCAATGGCACGTGGAGGGGCTGGCTCTGAGCAGGGAGGGAAGAGAAGGAAGAATCCCACAGCAGGATCCAGGCACAGGGACTGCCTGAGAAGTTATTGCCCTAGATAAATCTGTGCAGGGTGGGAGAAAGGAGGAGGAAGCAGGCAGCCCCTGTTCGGGTCTGTGCTGCTGCCAGCATGGCTGGTCCTGTACCCCAAAAATGTTGTATCTGCCCCTGTCCCACGTGGATTTTCCATTTTTTCACTGCCCAGCTGTACCTGGGGCCAGGTGACGTCCCCCTGCTCCTCTGCAGGGCCTGACGTCACCCCAGGGGGAGCAGCCAGGTGTTTTTCTCTTGAGTCAGGTACAAACAGAGCAGCTGCTGGAGGGAACACCCACCTCTGGCTGCAGGTCCTGGCAGGTCCTGGCTGGGTAATGCTGGCCAGGGGGGTCTGAGCAGCCAGACGTGACCGCACGTAACCCCCTTCCCTGGGAGCCTGCCAGCACGGGGGGGTCACTCCGCCTTCCCTGGGGTCTGTGAGGAATCAGCACCCACAGGGTCTCAGCAAAGGGCCCCCAGCCCTGCAGAGGGGAGCCAAAATTCACAGCAGGAAGGACAGACATGTTCCTCACAGAGCTTTGATAAGGAGCCCACCTTGCACACACCAAATCCTTCATGACCTCCTCTCTCTCTCTCTCTGCAGACATCAAGTACATCGAGCTGACACCGGGCAGAGCCACGTGCCCCGACCTGCCCCAGGGCTCCCCCAGCCCTTCGGGCACCCCCTTCTCCAGGTCCCCTCAGACCAACAGCTTCCTGCCCCAAAAAGGAGCCCTGGGAGGCAAATACAGCACCAGTGACAGCGTGGTTTTCTCGAGCCCACCCGGACCCTCGAGTCCCCAGCCGGCCACGCTGAGCTGCACCAAAGCATCCGAGAGCAGCAGCGCACCCTGGCAGTGCCTGGCAGGACACACGGACACAGTTTCCTGCAGCCCCGGGGCTCTCAGCACCTCCCCGGGTGCTGACAATCTGCTAAAGCCCGTGCAGGTGCTGAGGGCCCGGCAGAGGGGGAGCTGGGTGTCCCAGCTCTCCACCAGCCCTGGCTCTGACACCAGCTACATCCTGGGCAGGTAAATGCCACCTGTGCCAGGTGCAAGGGGCACAGGGCAGCCCCTCCTTCCTTGGGCTGGGAGATGGAGCCCTGCGGGGTTGGCGCAGTGGCTGGGATGGTTTCTAGGTGTGAACACCCCCCTGATCCCTGCTCTGTCTCCCTCCTGCAGCAGCACCCACTCTCTCCACAACGACGACTCGGATGCTTCGGCCGCTGCCTCGCTGTCCCCCGCCAGCTCCCTGGGCAGCCCCTGCTCCCCTTCCTCTGCCATCGTGCCCCACCCCAGGGAGGCTTTTGCCCAGAGCTCCCCCCAGCCCAGGGCAGGCGGCTCCCCCAGCCCCTCCCTGGCGCAGAAGGGCCAGGCCAGCAGCTGCCCCCCCTCCATCCTCACCTCCACATCCGACATCCCGGTGCTGCTGGTCAACGGGTGCCTGGAGCAGGGAGATGGGCCCCCCCAGCTGGCCAAAGCCCCCCCCAGCTGCGGCAGGCAGCCCCCCCCGGCCGGCTGCAGCCCGGCCCCGAGGCTCGGGGGGCTGAACAACGCGCAGTCGGCGCCCGCGCTCAGCTGCCTCTCGGACAGTGAGTCACAGGGCAGGGCAGGGAGCAGGGCACAGCCCACATCTGCTGGGAAACGGGCAGAAAACCCCGTTCTCACTCTGCTGTAGCTGTGGGTTGTAGGCACAAAGGATGAGAGGCGCTTGCTGGAGCTCCTTGCTGTGTCTCCCCGTGGTCCGGGTGGGCTCCAGGATGAGGGTGGTGACCCAGGATTAGGCACAGCTTTGTGCCCACCGGTGTCCTGGGATGTGGGCTCAGCAGGCAGGAATGCTCTGCTCCCTCCAGGAGATGCAGATGCACCTATTTATAGTACCTGAGAATGAGAAACACCATTCTGTGCTGTCGTCCTGCCTGTTTGCAGACCCAGAGCGGGCTGGGAGGAGGGGCTGGGGCTCCCGTTTGCTCTGAGGACACCCAAAGGTACCAGGGTTCACAAGGTCCCTCATTCAAGGGCAGACACTGGGGCTATTGTTCTCTGCAGGAGATGAGCAGAGGCAGCTCTCGGGGCAGAGGGTTTTAATTGGGATCCTTATGGGAATGGCAAGAGGGTGTGTGGGTCAGATCCTGGTGTAAATCCCATGGTCCAGTGGATTGTGCAGGGCTGGGCAGGCTGGCACTGCCAGGGGACTCCATGTGACCCTCTCTGCACTACATCACAGCCTGCCAAGAGAGAGAATTACATGGAGAACGAGCTATTCTGAGGAGTGGGGAGAAAAGGATTGAAAAACCTTCAGCCCCGGCCACCCTGAGAGAGAAATGTCTCTGCTGGGCTCTGCCATCTGTGGAGTCCTTCAGGTTCCTGCTGGCCTTGACACCCTGTGGTCTCTTGCAGGTCCCCTGAGGGCTGGGCAGCCCACCATGAAGTTTGTGATGGACACATCAAAATTCTGGTTCAAGCCAAGCATCAGCAGGGACCGAGGTGAGGCGGGACAGGCTCTGTCCCCAGAGCTCTCTGGTGTCCCTGTGGGGACTCACTGGGGGCAAATCAAAGCCTGCTGGGGGCTGGTGGGTGTGGAGGGACCCTCTCACAGCTTGAGGGGGGAACAAGGGCTGTGCCACGGCCCTTCTGTGTCCTCCAAGCCCAGCAAAGCTTCTTCTGCTGTCACACAGCGTGGCCTGGGCAGGGTCTGAGTGTCCTGGGGACTGCAGGGACCTGTGGGACCAAGCCAGGGACGCTGCAGTCGGTGCCACACCAGGGATGTGCGTGTCCCTGGCACACGCTGCAGAGCTGCTGCTGCTGCTGCTGCCAAGGAGGGGCTCCCTGCAGAGCAGCAGGGCACCTGCTGTGCTCGGCTGAGCCCCTGCCTGTGCTCTGACAGCCATCCAGCTGCTGAGGGACAAGGAGCCGGGCGCGTTCCTGGTGAGGGACAGCACCTCCTTCCGGGGCTCCTTCGGGCTGGCCATGAAGGTTCCTGGCTCTCCCTCCGGCAGCCAGCCAGGTAAGGGGGTGCTCGGGGGGGGCTGCTTCAAGGGTTTGACTGGAACGACTCAAAAAAAGCCACAGAGAAGCCACAGCACTGCGGTGTGTGGGAGGTGCTGGCAGAGCGCCTGTGTGTGCCTGTTCTTCCTCTCACTGGGGTGATGGTGGCACAAAACAGCCTGGGGCAGGACTCTGGGGTGGCCAGGGGTGACACGGTGGCATGGGGCCGGTGCTGATGCTGGTTGTGGCTCCTCTTGCAGGCGAGGACAGCAGTGACCTCGTCAGGCATTTCCTCATCGAGTCCTCCACCAAAGGGGTTCACCTGAAGGGCGCCAGCGAGGAGCTGTATTTTGGTAAGGACAGCAGCCCTGGCAGCCCCAGGAGCTGCTCCCAAAGCCCCTGGAAGCACCAGTGAATGTGTGGCACCCCTGCCAGCACAGGAACCCCCCAGCTCCTGCCTGCACTTCCCTGACAGTGACACCGTGGCTCCAAAGCAGGAGCATGAGCTCCCTGCGACACTGTTGCAGGGTGCAGGAATGTGGTTGGGGGGGTTCCAGGCAACAGCCCCCCCCAAAAAACTCACAATTCTGGTTGCAGGGAGCCTCTCTGCCTTCGTCTACCAGCACTCCATCACCCCTCTGGCACTGCCCTGCAAGCTCAGCATCCCCACCCGAGGTAGGAGAGCGACGGGAGGGGGGCTCCGAGCAGCCCCTCCTGCTGCTCAGGGGAGGTGGGCTCGGTCCTGCAGTGGGGAGGGGTCTGAGGCCCCCCCCGGGTGCCTGCGAGGGGCTGCTGCCCTGGCTGCAGGTGGAGCAGGGACCTGCAGAGCTGACCTGGGGACGGGAGGGTGGAGAGGGCAAGGGAAGTAGGAGTGGGAGATCAGAGGTGAATGGAGAGGGAAATGAAGGACAATTAAGTTAATTACTGCTCTAAACCCCTGCAATTAGAGTGGTCCTGGGCCTTTGAGCCTTCCTGAGAGATAAGGAAGGGCCAAAGAGGTGACCAGCCCAGCCTGGCCTGTGGCATCACTGCTCCTGCTTGTGCTTTGTGCAGATCTCGCTGATGGAGAGGACAGCCCTGACTGCGCCCCCGAGCCTGCCCTGTCCCTGGCTAAAAAAACTGCAGGTGAGGACAGCAGCCAGCTGCTGGCCCTGGGGACAGCCCTGCTGGCAAAGGGCTGGAGCCTTGGGCACACTGTGACAGCAGCAGGTCACCCCTGTGCAGGGGTCGACATCCCCCTCCAGGAAATAGCTGCAGGATTTCGGCAGATTTTTTTTCCTGGGCTGAAAGGAACCTGATATTTTTAAGGAAAGGAGACTTTGGGTCTTCAAGTTGCTTGAAAACACAGTTCTTGAGGTCGTGAGGCTGATAAGAGACCCCCGGGTTCCACAGTTTTAAAGAGTTCCTGATTTTTAAGCCTCTCTCCTGATGGGCTTCAGCGGGGGTGGAACAGCTGGAGCTTTAGGAGAGGGATGGGCAGTCAGGGGCTGCTGAAATTCCCTCAAAGGACAGGATGGGGAAGGGTCTGTGCACCTCAGCCTGGGTGGGCTCCAGGTGAGAGCAAAGAATGAAGGGCAGGATGGGTCACAACGCAGGCTGGGGAGCTGGGGACTGCTTTGTTTTGCTGGAAATTCTGAAAAATCAGTTGGCAAGCTGGAAAGTTTAGTTTGACCCAGAACAGCCCTTTAAACAGCTCAATCAGCCTGAAATGTCATGTTTTAGGTTGGCCGTCAGCCCTTCGTTAGCTTGGGGTATTTCTGCTTTTCATTAAAGGAAATATGTAATAAACACAAAAAAAACCCCAGCAAATGTGACATTTAGAAACGGGAAATTAAATACTTTGACTTTTACAACAATTAGTGCAAAGAATTAAGGCAAACCAAACTAAATTAGTGAAGAATTTCTGAGTCACCAAATCTTTTCAATTTTCGTCAAAACAAACCTGCCCCGGGTCCACGTGAGGGATCTGCAGGATGACCCCCGGGACCCAGCCCTGGCTCTGGCCCGGGTCACATCCGTGCTGAGCCGTGCCCTGTGCTGTCCCTGCAGTGTGCAACGTCCTGTACCTCAGCTCAGTGAACGTGGAGACGCTGACGGGAGCCCCGGCCATCCTGAAGGGCATCTCCTGCACCTTGGAGCTGGAGACGCTGCCCACCCCAACCCTGGTGCACTTCAGGGTGACGGAGCAGGGCGTCACGCTGACCGACGTGCAGAGGAGGTGAGAGCTCAGGGTGGGCTGCACGGAGCTCCCTGCTCACCTCGCAGCCTCAGGAAATCCTGCCCTGGTTGGACAAAGCCGTGTCACCATGCTGGGATGGGTTTGGTGCCTTAGCAAGGGGTGCTGGGCGTGGTGGCATTGCAGGGGTGGGATTTTGGGGTGCTTTGAGACCCTCACTCTCCCACAAGCACAACAGGGTTTGCAAATTTGTGTCCTTTCCCAGGCCATTCCCTTTCCTAACGATTCCCTCTCCCCTTCCAGGGTGTTTTTCAGGCGACACTACCCCTTGGCTGCCATCAGGTTCTGTGGGATGGACCCTGAGAACAGAAAGTGAGTTTTGGGCAGCAGTGCCTGTCGGAGCCACTCGCTGTGCTCCCTTCCCTGTGCTTCCCAGTGCCTCTGCACCACTTCAAATCCCAAATCCCATAAAACTGCCCCGAGCACACAGTGCTGGGGTGGATCTAAACATAACCCTTGGCTTTGCAGCTGATGGGATGAGTTAAACATCAGCCTCTGAGCAACTCCAATTCTGTTCTTCCCCCAGGTGGCAGAAGTACTGCAAGTCCTCCAGGTAAGAGCAGGAACGTCCTGCATGGAGTGGGGGGCTGGAATCCAGGGGAATGCTGCTGCTGCATTGCAGAGCAGCAAAGAATGAGCTCAAAAATGAGGAGGGGATGTGATAGAAGTTACCATGGTGGCAGGATGAGGCGTGGGACTGATGGGTGAAGTTTTGGCGGGGGTTGCTCTGTAGGTTTGGATGAGAGGTTTGGCTGAGCCCAGTTTTCCACATCCCCTCATGCAGAACCCCCCGTCCAAATCCCACAGCCTTCCCAGGGACTTGTGCTGGGTTCAGGAAGTGAGTTTATATCTGGCTCTACCTTGTGCTCAAGAATCTTTTCACAGCTGGGGAAGCCTTGCCAAAAATGCTCCTCCCGGCTGCTTGGCTTCCAAGGAAACGTGATTGGGGAGAGGGCCAAGGTGGAATTGCTGGAACTGGGATTTGGCTTTGTGGCTGGGCTGGTTTCAGCCTATTCCTTCAGATTCCTGGATGCAAACTGAATAAGCCTCTTTTCTTTCTCAAAGAATCTTTGGGTTCGTGGCCAAAAGCCAGACAGACTCGGAGAACCTCTGTCACCTGTTTGCAGAGTACGACACCGTGCAGCCAGTGTCCCTTGTCATCGACCTGCTCCGCCAGCTCCTGCCCAGCCCATAGGGACACAGCCCTGGGACACTCGGGGCCAGCAGCTGCCCACACACCGCTGAGCTTCTCCTGCTCCCCTTCTCCTGCTTCTGGGTTGCATTTTGGCAACAGCATATATTTTGAATTTGTTTTTGTTATGCATCAGGAGCTTCAGCTAAAGACTTTCAGCTCTGGTGGGGTGAGATGCTCCTCCGAGCCTCTCCATGGGGCACTGGCTGCCCTCAGAAGGGATGGGAGCTGTGCTCTCTACGGAACCACTGCCCCTCAGCTGGACTATGTGCTTTGAAGGACCGCCAGCCACGAGGTCCCCTGGTCTTGGGGTGTCTGGGCTGGGGGAGGTCGTGGAGCTGAGCTGAGCTCCCACCATTGGGGACCCAGCCCTGACACCCCAGTGCTGCAGGAGGGAAAGCCTGGGGGAGGAATCACCCCCTGAGCAGCACAAAGAGGCAGCTTTGCAAATCAAAGTGTATAAAATGACTAATTCCGGCTGGAAACCTAGCTCCCCTCAAGGAGCAAGCAGCATCCACGGGCAGGAATGACAGAGCAGCGCATTTTTCCTGGTGCTGGGAAATTCTCCTGCCCTTTTACGCAGCGCAGGGTTACGGGCAGGGCTCAGCCTCCCAGCATTGCAGAGAGCTGGGAAATAAATGGTGACATTTTCATGACAGCGAAACCTCAGGTTTTTGGAAATGCCTTGCCTGAATTTGGGCCGGATTCTCAGATGACGTAAATTGGCAGGGCCTCGAGGAAGACGGTGCTGCCATGATCTGCAGCAGCTGAAGGGTCAGCTCGTGCTGTAGCTCAGAGCAGAAAGCAGCTCTGGGGCCACCATGCTCTTCTCTACCTTAATTCTCATTTGGTACCTCTGCTTTGGTTTAATTTTGGCCCCCATGTTAATGAACTCTCTCAGGGGTATTTTCAATAAAGCAATAGAACATTTTTCAACAACACCACAGGGATGGCAGCAATGGAGACACTCGCTCTGCTCCAGAGCAGCTGAACAGATCACCCAGGGCAGAGTCCCTGTGCCCCTGCCAGGCTGTGGAGCAGGTCCAGCTGTGGCCACTCTTGGCAATGACCAGAACAGATACTGGGGTCACTGCAGGGGGAGCACACAGGGCACCAAGAGGAGACAGAAGCAGCTTTGTCCCCCTGATCCCTCTGCCCTGAGCACTGCAGGGTGGGCTCGGGAGCTGGTGCCCAAGGGATCCAGGTGCCTCTGCTGTCCCCAGCGTGCTGCAGGGACGAGGGGGCTGCAGCTCCCCAAGGTCCCAGGCAGCTGGGGCTGTGGGACCTGAGCCCTGAGACCCTGGGGCAGCCCCAGGACCCCCAGGGCTGGACTCTGTTATTGTGTTGCTGGTCAGGATCAGCAGCTGGGAGTGGGGACAGGCAAAGCCTTTGGCTCCACACGGTGCTTTGGGGGGTCGTGCTGCCCCCTGAGCCTGGCCAGCCCTGGTAGCATCAGCACAGGGCTAGGGCACAGGAGCCTGGCCCTCTCTGGTGCCGTGCCAGCAGATTTCTGGGCTGTCTGTGTTGGCTGCAGCCCCATCCTGGAGCTGTTTGCACAAGGCCAGCAGCGCCGGCGCCCCGGCTCCGGTAACCGGAGCATCGGGCTGGCGCCAGCCCGGGTGGCACTGCCAGCCCCGGGAGCCACCAAACACAGCCTCAGCCACCTCCTGGGCCATGACCCGGGCAGCACTGGCTGCAGACACTGGGACAGAGCGAAGCCACGACTGGGAAGTGTGCAGCTGCTGAATTCCTGTGCTGGGACATCTCCCATCTTCATCCTGCCACCCTCCCAAAACACCGAGCGGGGCTGGAGATGCCCGGTGTACCCTGGCACCAGCAGGCACCTGTGGCTCGCCAAGGCTGGTGGCACTGCCTGGCCGTGAGCCCGTGTCCCTGGAGCAGCCGGTGCCCGTCCCTGCGTGCCCCTGAACTTTGAAGCGGGTCCAGGGTCCCCTCCCCAGCCTGGCGCCGTCTCCGGCCCCGCCGCTGCTCCTGTGTGGGGCCGACAGGGACAATCCTCCCGGTGGAGACACCGAGCCGGGAGTCATGAGGAAGCAAGGAATTATTTGTTTCCCACCCTATTCCTGCTCAGTGAAGTTCTTGCAGAGGCTGCTGAAGCCCAAACCCAGACCAGGTCCTTGGGCAGAGGGGGTGACCAGAGGCTGTCCCCACACCAGTGGGACCCACAGCCTCCTCGTTCCTGCTCTGCCTTCCTCCCCTCCCATAATTTAAAAGATAAAACACACCGGACAGAAACACAAATAACGGGAAATTAAATACAGCAATTACATTTTTTGAGGATACAAAGGTTCAAGTGTACTGTAAAAGGTCGGTGCTACACGGGAATCTGACGGGACGGGCTTGGCCCGGCAGGGACGGACAGGGACCCCTTGGGCTCCAGGGGTCGCGCTGGGGGTGGGGACACTGGTACATGGCGGGGTGTAAATACAGCCCTAAACTACAGGAGAGACGCCGCGAGACGCTGGAGCCCTCGGAGCGGGACACAGGACGTGCCATCGGCAGTGCCAGCAGCCCCAAACAGGACAGGACCCGCTGGACCCGCCCTGGTGTGCACGGGGAGTGGCCCAGGCCACCAGGCTGGCGCTGTCGCCGCACCCTGTCCTGCTGTGGCGCTGCCGCAGGGGACTGGCACTGGGGCTGGCCCTGGTGGCAGGGACAGGGACGCCCTCCCCACCGAGGACTGTCCCGGGAAATGGACTCGGTTTCGAAGTTGTGTGTGAGCAGGGCACAGGGCTGGCAGGGCACAGGGAGGCAGGGTCTGGCAGGGCACAGGGCTGGCAGGGCACAGGGCTGGCAGTGGCAGGGCGCAAGGCTGGCAGGGGTGGCAGGGCACAGCATCGAGGGTGTGTTATTAAGGGTGCCAGGGCACAGGGCAGAGGGTGTTTCACTAAAACTGAAACACTTCGTTCCCATCGGGGGGGCCTCGGACAGGACAAATCCACCTGGAAAACCAAAAGCTACCACTGAGGCCATGGAGCCAGAGGGTGGGTCAGGAGGGGATTGGGGAGGTCCCCTCTGTCTTTGGCACACTTTCCATGGCATTTCTATGTGAAAATTTCCATCCCGGCTTGAAGAAAAACCAGGTACAAAACCAGTGACAATTTCTCAGCTGAGAGCATTGTGCTGGTGAAATCTGCAGATCCCATCATGGAGACATTCCAGAATCCATCCCAGTTTTGTCACATTGGCCAAGGAGAAACAGGAGCCATCACTGCAGTGCCCTGGTCCCTGGAGATGGAGAATTCCAGCCTCGGGGCCACACAGTCACTCATTAGATGCCACCAACAACATTTTTTAAATAGTAAAAAATTTGGGGAAGAAATTAAAAACTCAAACCAAAAGAAGCTCTTCCCCCTGGGATGTGTTTCCTGGGCATCCCTCACCCCTCCACCTCCCCCTCAATGCTGCTTGCCAGGGGATCCGGACCCCAGGATGGAGGAGGGGGAGACAGGACGGATGGGAGGCTTTGTCCCTGCACAGGGATGGGGCTGGGATGTGGGGAGGAGGTCCTGGGCTGTGGGGCTGGGGGCTGCAGCAGGGAGGGGGAAGGTCTTTTATTGCTCTGAGTGGCCACACTGCCCTTCACACACAAACTTGGGGTGGCATGCAGGCAGGGGGGTCTCTCCAGGTCCCCCAGTCCTTGCCTGGGCAGCCTCTCACCACCAGGGAGGGCAGGATGAGGCACTTCTGCTGCTGCCCGTGCAGAGGTGTGGCACGGAGGGCACTGAGCTGCGAATGCCATGCTGCCACCACCCCCCCAGAGCTGCCAGGTGTCCGAATTACCCGCGGGGCCAGGCTGAAAACCGCGGGCACCACGGGGCAGCAGCAGCAGCAGCAGCATCGAGGGTGTGCCCCGCCCACTCCACCCTGGCAGCCCGAGCCCAGGCTCCCGGGGCAGCATCACCCAGGCCGTGTCCGTGCGGGATGGAGGCGCGGCTGGCGCACGCCGGGGTCCCTGGCGGTGGCTGGTAGTGGTCATGGCGGTGCCGCAGAGCGCCGAGCCATCCGAGGCGCATCCCGGGGTCCCCCGGCACTGCTCAGCACTCACGTCCCCTCTCCTTCTCTCCCGGGCAGCCCCGGCGGGGGTCCTGGCCCTGCACGGCGCGGGGCCGCCGCGGTGACGCTCACATGCTGTCGGCCAGCTGGTGACAGTCCAAGTCGCCCTTCAGCTCCAGGAAGCCCGGCAGCTTCACGCCCGTCTTGCGGTCCACGCACCAGCACTTGCCCCGCTGCCCGTCCAGCGCCGGGTGACACTGCGGGCATGGCTTCAGTCAAGGACACCCCGCCTGGACCCCGCAGCTGTGGCAGCCAGGAGCTCTCTTTGAGGCTTTACCACCCTCATCCCACCTGGGGTTTTTGCCCCCAGCTCCCAAAGGGTGATTCCCACCAAAGCCAGGAGCCAGGCAGGCTGTGCCGCGCCTTGTCACTGTCCCCTCGATCACGACCCCCTCCCAGTCTCACCTTGGCTCTACAAAATCCCCCTCCCAGTCCCCCGTGAGAGGTCAGAGCCCACCCTACCTGCTTGGGGTGGAAGTTGCCGTTGCGGTCGCAGTTGGGGATGGGGATGACATAGAGGTCCTCGTGCGTCCGGGTCTGCGAGGCCGCCAGCCGCTCCAGCGCCCGGTGCAGCTCGCTCTGGCACGAGCCCTGTGCCTGGGCAAAGGGAGGGCTGAGCTGGGCACATGCTGCTGGCCCTGAGCCCCCAGACCCCCACCTTGGAGCACCCACCCTGCCCTCCCCAGCCCTGCTGGCGCTCACCATGACCCGCGTGTCCTCGCGGTGGTGAGGGCTCCCGCTGCTGCGCATCTTGTTGCCGTTGTTGACCCTCTTCGCCTGCTGCTTCTGCAGACACTTGCGGTCGTGGATGCTGCAGGGGCTGAAGCTGTTGTTGGGGTGGTCGATCTCCTCCTTCTCTGCAGAGACACGGACCAAGGGCAGTGTCACAAGGCAGCCCTGGGGGTGGCAGAGCCCCCACGGTGCCCCAGTGTCCACAGAGCCACTTGCACCCCAAGGAACACCATGCAGTGGTTTCTGGCAGGTGCCACGTCACCGCCTCTGGTCCCCACAGGTGTCACTCACTGCACTGGGCTGAGCTCCCTGCAGCACTGGGAAAGACTCCTGGGAGTTTTTCCTACTCATTAGCCACAACTAACAACTTGTTGCCGTGTGTCTGTTATTGTAGGGTCACAAATGCCTGCTGCGAGTGCTGGGCAGTGGCTCCAGCCTGCTGGGTCTGGCTGTGCCCTTGCCAGCCACGTGTCACCAGGTGCTCACCCAAGCACTGCAGCTACACTGACACACTGACAACGAGCTCCAGGACGCCCCCGGTGCCCCCAAAATCTGCAGTGGCAGTGGAGGCACTGGTGGAGCTGAGCCCCCGCCAGGCCCGGGGCGGCACCGGGCGCCACGGCCGGGAGTGGAGCCGTGCTCTGCTGTGGGGAACGGCCCTCGCCAAGACATGAAAGAAGAAATTCCTGGAATAAGAAAGTTAATCTCCCGCGGGGCCGATCCCAAAAGGCGGCACTTGGCACCCCCGCCTGCGCCAGGAGCGCAGCCAAGCTGCCGGCCCAGATGTTGGCAGCTGGACAGAGCGTCATGAGACGAGCGCTCGGCGTGACTTTAGTTTTTTAAAAAGCTGCCGGT